AAATTTTGATTCACCCGCATCTCAGACGAGATTCTATTGCCATTTGTCAATCATAACATATTGGAACATTTCGGGCAGCATTAACGACGGTTCTCATTGTCCAGCAGCCTCAGCTGGTTGAATTTTCCCACCATCTTGGTTTAGAAAACGAAAGGAATTAATGGAGGAAATGATTCAGTAAAATTAGGATTCAATCCTTTTCCAAACTTTTAGGTATTCATCATTATATGTTATCTTCCATTATCTATGGAAAGTAAAGCTCAATGCCCCAGCACTACCATGAATGGATGGAACTCTAACATTCACAGACTAAATACTTTGAACGTTTAAACAGAAGGAAGATATTTTTTGGTGGGTAGTTATATATATCACACTAAGCTAGTAGAATGAAGATATTTTCATGATATTTTAACATGAATTAATGGCTGCTTTTCAGAAAAATGGCACGAGGTTTTTAATTTGGAACGCACTAAGCATTGAAGAGGACTTGCTGATAAGTAGCACATTAAATTGCCATAATCTATTAACTATTGTAGCTATTGATAAAAAATTGACAAGCATTTCCATAGAGAGCTAACAAGTTATGAACGCAAGATGTTAGTGAGTCGGAGAATGAATTCGACTTTAATCCCATATGAACGCAGATGTTAAATAGCCCCATTCTCTTCATTTTTATCGACATGCATAACTATATATAAATGGTATATTCCTAAAGTATATTTTCGAGAGAGCCCGGCCCTAATGGTTTTTGCGTATGATTTGAGAGCTTCAAAATCTATATATCAAAATCAAAAGTTTAATTAGTTGTAATTTTGTTATGGGATTAGTATTTATTCATCATATTTTTTAAAAACTAAAAGAAAATTTATTTTTAAATTATATAGTTTCAATAAAACATCACAAAAAATAAAAAAAATATTTTAATTGATACTTTAAAAATAAGATATTTAAGTCTTTTTCGATAAAAATTTATTGAAATAATATAATTTAAAAATAATTATCCTCTTAAAAATTAAGAAGTAAAAACAAATGAATACTATTTTTTTATAAGTATATCATTACTTCTTTTTTTTTTTTGAACATTTTGACATGACATAGGACAGGTTCAAAACCTACTTAAGGGAGGGGAAAATGCACTTTTCAATGGTTAGTGTTATAGGACCTTCAGAACCAAATGCTATTACATAAATTTTTTTAAATGCAAATTGCATGCAATTTAACATTTGAAAGTATTTAAATAATTTTACATAATAAATTTTATTTAAAATATTTTTATATTTTTATAATTTAAACTATATCATTTTTGAACATGCATTTAAACTATATCATTTGCTTAACATAATATAAGTAAAAAAATACTACTTTTATAATACTAATAACTAAAGGCTCTTTAAAAGTTGAAATCGGCTTAAGAGGGCTACCATCTAGTACTAGTCCTATGTTAGAGAAACTCTTCCAAAAGAAAGTCTAAACGGGCATTACATTAAAAAATGAATTTAAAATTTTGTCAATTAACCGCCGTATGCAGGACGTACAGAGGTTTATGCATCTTTATTTTTTTGATGATCAATTATTATGCATCTAATCTAAGAACCTTTCACATGCATAGAATGATAAATACCGGATGCAATCAATAGAATTTATTTGTTTAAGCCGAACCATGCATGATTATTTGTCAAACCCCAGTTGGGTTTTCATCTCCATTAATAAAAATGACCTTCATGGCCGCAAGCTGCCGGTTTTTAAAACCGTGCTTCGTGGAATTTTCCACACGTTAATTAGTGCTCAGAAGCAAAGAGGAAGGCTCCCTTTTTTTTTGTTCTCACATGTAAAGTCAAACAAAAACGTCTCCTTCACGAATTGCTGAGCAGCTTCAGTTGCACGGCCTGTTTCCCATAATTCTCTCTCTTTCTCTCTCTTTGACATGGTGAGGTAGGATTTTTCTTTAAATAGTAGGAGAGGACAGGCAGTTCTGCATATCCAGCGTTCAAACCTTAACAGGTTTCATCTTCTTCTTTATCCTTTGTTTCTCTGCAAGCAAAAGGAAGAGATTTCTGCATAAGCCATGGGAACTCAAGCTCCGGATTATTATGTCAATAACAATGTTAGTCTCTCTCTCTCTCTCTTTTTTCCCAAACTTGTTGGAGATATGCTTTTTAACTTTTTGAAAAAGCAGGATGTTCTATAGTTCCTTTCTGCTCCAAAGCTGCATGACTTTCCATTTTGTTTCCTTATTAGAGAGGAAAGTGTTTAAGTTTTGATTTTGTTTAGGAAATGTATGAACCCATCTTCTGAGTTTCAAAGATACCAAAATTTCAGACATAATTTGAAGCTGAGATACTCAAATCTCTCGTGCGATTTTGAAGAAAGAACATTTTAGCTTCTCTGCAACTTTCTCTCTTTTTCTTCTTTATTTTTTCATTTTTGCTTCTGTTTCCATCCATTAGTTTCTAGGATGCTGTGGTTTCATGGATTGCCTCTAAATTTTTCATCATTTCCCACAAACTCATGTGCGAATTGAGATGATGTAGAGGGGGTTTGGTATCGGATTTTGTTTAGTTCTTTATGATTTATTTTGTTAGAACAGTTTATGTTTTCTGAGTTCAGAAGATTTTGTCATTTTAAGGACTGTGATTATACCACCTCTTTCATCTAATTATAAATAAATAGGGGGTGAGCTATTCATAAAAAAATCTTCTGCTTTCTTAGTTTATACTTAAATCTAGCAATATGTGTAGACTTGATGCACAGCACATGGGATTTGTCAACAAAACTTGCCTAACCTCTCGACAATATTTGACTTTCCATTGCATTTAATTTTTTTTATAAAGTTTTTCAATAC